TACAATTAATTTTCTTCTTGTTTTATTCCCAATGAATTTACAACTACAAATCAAAGAGGCTAGGGATGGTTATTCAAAGTACAATCACATGTAGAGTTTTGTTTAAAAAATAAAAGTATTATAAATATAATTGTATTTAAGGTGAATGTCTATATTTTAGAGAGATTTTAGGGATTTTACTTGGTGGCTAAGTTACTCTTTCCCTATAAATAAAGTTGTCCTATTCCATTGTAATTGTCCCAAATCAATAAGAATTCTCTCTCTGTACTTTTCTTTGTAATGCTCTTCTTCTTCTTTTATTATTTTATAACACGTTATCAGCACGAGACTCTAACCAATTGAGTAAAAGCTTTGGGATTGAGCATAATGATTGCCAATTATTCCATGAACTTCGTTCATGATTAAATTCTGGATTTAAAGTAAGTATTTTATTTTATTTTTCTCTTTTGAATTCTTAAAATTATATAATTTAATTTTAAATACAAGCAAAGACAATAAATTTTGATGCTAACTCTAATAGAGTTTGTAAGAAATTATAACCACCAAAAGTGGTAAAATTTCTATGTCTTGCCATGACCAAATTCATGTATGATTGTGAGAACAAGAAGTAGAAACCCGTCCCATTGAATTTATTTCATTCTCATTATCTTAAGAGAATGTGGTAGCAGTATGTGATACGTCTGAAAGAAGACAAAATTATTATTATGAATGTATCAATGGATGTGGACGTGGCAATAGATAAAATTAGAATCGTCATCATTGTGGTAATGAGAACAATAAGTATTCTCAAAATAATCCTTCACTGCGTGAAAGTAAAATTTGTCATCGATTTGACATGAGATTTTGTAAAGTACATATATATGATTATGATCCATTCATGATGTGAATGTGACAACATGTGATTTATGAATACATATTCATTCTTGGAAGAATATGAACGTGCTAGTGGTAATAAATATACCACACTCACCTCTAGAAGGAGGTTTGAGATGAACTAAGAAAATATTTTATTTATTATGGCATGAATGGTCATTGGTCACGTACCTATTATAGAGTCAAAATATTTTGGTAATGTGATTATTAAAGGACAACAGTAATGCAATAAACAGATCTTGCATATAATTTTGACCATGACCATAATGTTATAACTTTCTCCTTAAAAGAGGTATTCACCATATGAATGTTAATAAATAAATGGCAGTACAAAATTAATTGAGAGCTCTAGAAGAGCCAATTATACTATTTTGTGTCGTAGTAAGTCTCAAAGAAACTTATTGAGTTTCTAAAGTATTCGCGAAAACGGTTGGATATATTGACACTATAAATAATGAAGATTTAATATCTTTATATTACTACGACTGTAGTGCGGGAATATGTATATATGAATACTACCCGCTTTATTGCCTGATTTGTATTACACAAATAAAAAATATGGCAAAATTACATGACACAGTAAATTGGATGTTTATTGATATAAAATCCATGTCGCAGTAAACTGAAAGTTTAATTAACAATTGCGCATGTCATAATGTAAACCTGAAATTTACTAATACATATAATTTTATCAAGCATGGCTTATTGAGCAATCTTGATTTAGATGCGCAAAATAAATGAGAATTATCATGGGTAAGTATTGAGGAAGATTATTTATGAATTCTCTTGTGTTGCTTGTTCTCGCGATTATTATACCAAATAAAATTGGGATTGAATTCCTTGAATTCTGAAATTTATCAAATATGAATATGGGCTTATTCACCTGCTATGTATACCACGCAAGATGCATACATGAGATGGTTACATGTGCGATTATTATTAACCCACAACATGATGTTTGTGAGGTAACTTGCTAAATAATTTAATTTAGAGCATAATTTTCAGATTTTCTATTCAAGACATTTCATCTTGATAAGTTGGTTTACATCACAGCTGGTTTAGCAAAATGATTTATTGAGTGCCTCCACTTAATAGTTAAACTATTGCTTACGAGAATAAAGTTATTTATATTAGTTTGACATACGTTATACACGAAAGTATATTACATCATCCCCTCACAAGTGGTTCAGGGTCAGGATGTGCGGTGTATATTTTGATTAACACCATAATGCACAAAGATGAGTTCCCAAAGTTGAGGAAGCAAGTTAGTTTTTCCATGAGGGGTAGACAGGATAAACAGTTGAGAAAAAGTTATGTAGAATGAATTATCATTTTTACATCTAGATCCTCGAATAAGATAATATAAACTTGAAGTTCATAAAAAGATAATTCATCTACAATATATTGCAAAGCATGCAAGACGCATTTGCTGACTCAAAGAAAGTAACTATATTCTCACTGAAAATGCTCCTATTAAGTCCTAGAAGGACAAAGTCTATGGTACGGTTAAAACATATAGACAAATCAGTTTCAAATAAAATTCTTGATAAAGAAGATGAGCAAATGATCATAGTAAGGAGGCAAGTGATCTAGAAGATCACATGACATAATACTTCATAAAATCTCAGGAGAGGTTTAGGTACCAGAAATGAATAAAGAGATCTCTATGTTATGTCTCTATAAAAAATATATTGGAACCGATATATAATGTTCGTCGACGACATATATGATAACGCTAAATATATAAGAGGATCTTAAGTCTGGATAAATAATAGATTGGTTTCATATGAAAGACATGTAATTTTGGACATGTAGTTCAAACACTTGAAAGTATAAAGTCAATGGTGTGTGCAATCACTTTTAACTATTTTATATGTCTAGCATGATACGAAAACTTGATATGCATCTGAAGTCTATTTATATGGCTTATTTGACTATACTTATATGATAATCCCCGAAGGATTTCAATTGCTTGAAGCATATACAATTCTTGATCTTGAAGTACCATGTCCTTAGTGCAATTTATGCACAAATGTATCTTGCTATAACTGTAAGGATGATAATGTGATAGCGAATTTTTTTTTTACCTCCACAGAGATATTGAAAAGGCCACTCCACAGCAGTTTATGAAGACATTATATATTTATCAAGAATGATGTTCATTCAAGTTAATATGATTGATTTGTGTATCAAATCTCTACCAACGATATTTTGAAGATGGTGCACAAGATTGGAATGCGAAGGCTCAAGGATGTGAATTGATGCTCTCATCATGGGGAGTTAATACGCGTTGTACTCCTTTTCCCTTACAAGGTTTTATCCCACTGGGTTTTCCTTGCAAGGTTTTTAACGAGGCAACCAAAAGGCGTATTTCTAAATATGTGTACTCTTTTTCCTTTTCTAGAATTTTTTCCCACTGAGTTTTATTTTAGTTAAGGTTTTAACGAGTCACATTATCTGTTGAATAGACATTCAAGGGAGAGTGTTATAAATAGAATTGTATTTAAGGTGAATATCTATATTTTAGAGAGATTTTAGAAATTTTACTTGGTGGCTAAGTCACTCTTTTCCTATAAATAAAGATATCCTATTCCATTATAATTTATCTTAAATCAATAAGAATTATCTATCTACATTTCTCTGTAATGCTCTTCTTCTTTTTTATTGTTTTATAACAAAAAGAAAGATATTGTGCCTGATTCCTGTGTCGGTTCAATGTATCCCCTGTAATTCGTTAATAATGATATCCTTTGTTTGGCAAACAATTTTGCTTTTGGAGGACCTCACTTACACCTAAGAATTAGACAAATAATAATTTATCGTGATTAATAGTTTATTTATTGAGGAAAACGACGGAGATTGAACTCTCACGTGGTAGAATTTTACAGTTCACGCAGTAAAATTGTATGTAAGCGCACATGATATGAATTTTACGGGTTGAAACTTGAAACCAACACCAATTATGTGGATGTCTTTTTTTCTATTTACCCTTCCCTACGAAAAATGGGTTATCTCCATCATTTACATTCTCTTTTGTTTTTCGTTTTTAAACTTTCATAATTAATACGCTGGTCTGTCTGATCAATGAAAGTAATAAAATTTGTGCTTTACCTCCTAGTTCCTATGACGAACTTTAATACACCCAATTGTGGACTGCCTTTTCTAGCTCAGTTGAAAATGAACAAAAATAGCGTCCGCTGGTCATTTCTTGGCCATGCCTTTGATAAATAGCTACTATCCTGGAGTACACAAGTGAAACTCCCATGATGGCTATTTTTCTCAGTTATTGGGACTGAAAAGTAGCTATTGTTGAAATTTTACCCAAGAAAGCCCATATATGCTGCTCAGCAGATGGGCTTTTACGACTAACCCACGTAAACAATTCAATTTAGCGGCCTAGCCATCTTCTTCCATTATCTTTATGATTTTTTTCACTTTTAGCCCACACCAAAAACTATTTATATTTGGTAGCCAAAAAAGGATATACAATTTGTATAAATTTTATATATAACATGCATAATATATATATATATAGTTTCGGCTATTATTTTAATAACGGCAATATAATGTCGTTTTCTCTTTTATCTCTTTACATCCTAGTTCTTATGTGGGTACATGCACTGAAGAGTATACAGTGGGGCACATAGATAGCACATTACATACAACAAAGAGCATTCTTTGCTGGTGCAGATGTCATACATACCTCACAAAGAATTGCAAGTATGACCACTTTACTATCTCTATTTAAATTGAGGAGTATCTCTAGTATGCATATACCCTTTATGCAAACATCTTTAAAGAAATGGAGCATTTTTTCTTCTGTATAATTTTTTTAAACATGAATAACGCTGTAAATTTCAAAATTTATTTATCTTTTGTCTGTATAATTTAGTCTTACTTAAACGTGATTATTACAAAATGATTGCATTTTTTATAAAGAAAATAAGATTTCTTTTTAAAAAATATGGTTATATATCTTTTACATTTTTTGAGTAAGTAATAATTAATACAAAGTACTTGCAAAAAAACTATTAGGACTCGAATCACTACACTTGAGAATTAAGAGGAGCTTCGAAAACAAAAAAGGAGAATTAAGAGGGGCGTTACGCAAATCCTTACAATGGGAACAGTAGTGGTGGAGTTATTTGTCAAACGTAGGACTCGCACGAACAACAAACATAAACCTTAGTTAAATCGACGGCTACTACTGAACCAAACTCCTAAAACCTCACCGCCGTCTTCCCCAATGTCGACAGAAACCCTAAACCCCAAAATCAACGGCGAGGATTTAACAGAGCAACTCCATTCCCCGGAAACCTCCACCAATCCAACGGTTGAAATTGCACCAACGGAAAAGCGAAAGCGAGAAGAAACAGAAACAGAAACGGAGCAACAACAGCAACAGCCAAACCCGTTATGGAAAACGAGTCTTTGCTCTTACTTCCGAAGAAACGATAACTCATGCAGCCACGGTGATACCTGCCGTTATGCCCATGGTGAGTCGGAGCTCCGTCCCCGACCCGATAATACATGGGACCCGACTTCTGAGCGGGCGAAAAAGATAGCTAAGAAGGATGATGGTGGCGATAAGGCAGAGAATAAAGAAGAAGAGAAGTGTCATGACGTCATGATGACGGAAGCGGTAGACGATGAGGAGGAATGTAGTTCGTCGGGTACTGGGTTGTCAAAGTGCCTGGTTAATCTTCCTATGAAGTGGAGTTCGGATAATTTAAGGTGTTTCCTTAAGCAGCATGTAAGATTCTTGCTCTTTTCAATATTTCTAGATATTAAAGTTGAAAGCTTTTGCGCCCCCCCTACTTTGGTCCAGTGGTAAGAGAACACCAGCTGATATGGTTGGGCTCATTATCTACCGAGTTTCAAACAGTACTGGCTCTCCGGGGATTTTATAATTAAAAAATGAAATCTTGGTTTTGCATTTATTTTCTAAACATTTTTCTAATTCCCAGTTTTAAGTAGTGGAGAACCTAAGACAGAGTTAATTAAGCTATTTCGAAGCATGGGATATATGTTGTTCTTCTAAGCGTCTACCACTCGGTCATTCAATTAAGGAGCTTGTATATATTTGAAGTTTTAGTTCTCACTAATCAAGAATGGGTAGCTATCTTCACATTGGGTGTGAACTTTGTCAGTTTGAGTTGGTTTTGTGAACTAGACATCTTTATAGATTTCACTGCATTTGTTCTATGGTCAATAGGATACAAAGTCCATCAATCAAAAGATTACTTGTTGGAAAAATGGAAACTATGAATACTTTGGAAGCACTATGCTGGAAGTGCAATTTCCTCTCTTTGTGACCAAAGGAGCATTATTTAGTTTCTGCAAACTTTTCTTCTCTGGGGAACGCTAATGCCAAATGCAACTTTCAACATTTTCATCTTTTTCCAGACCAAAGAAGCTAATGGAGAACACTTTTAACTTTCTACGGGCTTTTCTTCTTGTTGTATGACTTTTTTCAAAAATGTGTTCTAACTCCTAGTATCTGTGTTGTGCTGAAAGTTAAATACTACACATATGGTTAAGAGTTGTGTCCATTATGATGTGTGAAGAGGAACTGGCAACTGAGTCGACTGGTCCTCAGGGAGTTTTAGAAAACCAAACACTATCTTGAAAGAGCTAGTAGATTTTATTTTGTGTGTGCGTGCGGGGGGTGGNGTCAGCGCAATACAGAAACTGGCAGGTCTATGTTTTCTCCTTTCATGTATTCGTCTTTGAATCATCCACCGCATGAGGTGATCAGGTGATGCAATGGATAATTCATTTCCAATGGTTCTCCGTAGATTCTTCGGAAACATACATTACTTTCTAAAGCAAATTAGCACATAGATCAGTCCTTTATGTTGGTTATGTTCCTGGGACCCTATATTATCCTTTTTCTTTTTCTAGTAAAGTGAATGCAAGTGAAAATGGCTACATGTATGTTGAACATACCCTTTAACATAAGTTTCTTTTGTTCATCCTTGCATCCATGACGCCGCTAGAATTCATCATTGCCTTAAAGAGCGGCTGTAGTTTTGTAGACCACTGGCAGTACCATCGTTAGCATCTGTAGAAGTACTGATGTTTGCTCTATGGTTGGACAAGTCTGCTCTCCTGGAAATCATGATTCGGCTTCCTAAAGAAAATAATCCCTACTCTTTACCTTTTTTTTATTTATTGTTCTGTTCTTTGTGGATTTACCCCAATAGTGGGATTTTACTGGGTTGTTGTTGTTGTTGTCCTTTGTGGATTCTTTTTATAAGGGGATGAGTGTTAGTTGGAATTGACTCCTTAAATTTCAGGATGTTACTTTTAAATCAGCAAAAAAGAAGAAAGGCATGGTTGTAGGATTTGTTACTTTTGAAAATGCAGAACAAGTGAAGAGTGCTCTGAAGGTATTCCAATTGTTATCTAAATTTGATTAGAGTGACATGCAGTTCTGCAATTATCAGAAACATTTATTTTTCAAACTCGAACTTGGCAGGAGTTGAATGGAAAGCTTGTTGGAAACAAGAATTTGAAGGTTGGAGATGTCATTCCGCGGCCATTTGAGAGAAAAGGTAATTCGGCAATATCTTCATCTCCGGCCAGTCAACAAGGTGAAAAGCAAACCCCAACTGGGGACAGTTTGGATTCGAATAAAATATCAGATGAAACTGAGGCTGAGGACCCACTGTTCAGTGATTCAGTTTTGAAGGGTAGGAGTGTTCGTGATGTGGTGACTCCTCTTGCTAATATACCATACGCTGATCAGCTGGAGCAGAAGAAGAGCTCTTTGATGCAAACTCTCAAAAAACTTGTTAGGATATCGTATCCCTCTATTCCATATTGTTATAAAACCGCTCAAAACTTTTGACTTCCTGAATTACCACTTTCTCAAGGTTTGTGAAAATAGACTTTTGACCACTTTTTCTGTTTTTTCATATGGACAGACTCGAAATGCACGTAAAGCCTGTCCAAATGGTGTTTCACTTCCAGAATGGATTCTCAAATCTAGGGACATAGGTACACTTAAATCATTTCTTTGAATTGCATCGACTGCATTGTTGCTCTATGACTATATCTGTATAGTTAATAGACAACTGATTCACTTCTGTTCACTGAAATCATGTGGAATTAGGATGCTATTATTCTTTTATAGCATTTGATAAAGAAATGATATAACCTTTGATCCGATCATTTCTTTGAGCAGGTGGTCAACCATGCAAACTGGAGGGCATAATTGACTCGCCACTTATTGAGGGATATCGTAACAAGTGTGAGTTTTCTGTTGGATACTCTGTACTAGGGAAGCCAACTGTGGGGTTTCTGCTTGGAAATTTCAGGTAGATAGAAGTGATTGCAGTTTTTCAACATCTAGTTTTTTTTTCCTTGTCATTGTCCATTTAACAGGAATTACCCTTGTACCAGGGAGGGTGTGACAGCTGTTGAGGAACCTGTGAACTGCCCAAATGTTTCTAGAATTTCTTGTAAATATGCTGCTATCTTTCAAGAATTTTTACAAAAGTCAACCCTACCTATTTGGAATAGATTGAATAATACTGGATTCTGGAGGCAACTTACTGTATGTCCAACTTCTTTCTATGACCAATTAGTTTGTTCAGCCTCTCCTATCATGCAGAGATGATTCAGTGTGCATGTTGGAGAGGCTGGACAGTCTTTTCTTGCTTTTATTGGAAATGGGGGGATGCGGGTTTGTGATGCTTGGCCAACTGACTGGTTCTTTTGGGATATCTACATCCAGGTTCGAGAAGGTCGCATGCCTGGTAATAATGTAGAGGTTGAAAATCCCGATGCAAGTATTTCAGAGGTTATGCTCATTGTTCAGGTTTATGTCTTGTTAACTTTGTCCTTATTTTGTTCTTTCTTATATATCATTTTCAGAAAAATGAACAGCTCCTTCTCAAAAAGACAAATGAGCAGTTGATTTTAGTTTGTGCTTAGGACTTGCTCCTTTCCTTCTGTTTTTTTTTTTCATTTTCTTTACTCCTGGATTGCTTAGGTTTGCACTCTGGCGCTGGATGATGCAGTAGTTAATGATGAATTCCAAAGTATGGCCAAAGCATTTGCTATTGGAGCTTCTAGTGCATCACCAACATTACCTCTTACTGTCCTGGTAGTTCAGGTAGTTATCATACATCAATTCTTGAAGGCATTTCTCAATCTATGGTGANACCAACTTGTTCAGAAAAAGGAAATAAGCTAGGGATGCTGAGAGTTAAAACCCTATTTGTCTTTGTACCTTATTATCCCTTTGTCTTAAATTTTGGTTTATGCCTATATCCTTGCTTCAAACTAGTGATCCTTTATTTACACCTTAAATCCTTCAGATGTCTTGTTTTTTACCTTTTCAAGATTCTAGTTTTTTTCATAATAGTGAAATATGTACTTGATCTGCCAGTGGTGGCTTTACGCAACCTTGATGTTGCTACTTCTAAGTGCAGGATCACACTGGTATATCTAATGTAGCGCCGGCAGATGCTTCTCTGCGCGTCCTTCCGTTTCCCAAAGGGGAAAGATATTCTGAACTGCAAGCAGATAATACAGTTGCTGAAGCAAAAATTCACGATTTTATAAATGGACTTAAGTTTTGTATTTCACCCACAGCCTTCTTTCAGGTGAGATTATTGCTTATTTCTTTCTGTCCTAAGCCGATCTTATTCTTTTCTCCCCCC